AAAAGGATAATAAAACAATTTAGTTAAGTCATTTTGTATATTGTTACAAAAATCAAAGTTATACATATACTAACATTTATAGCTTTGATATTAATATGTCAAAGATACTAATTGAACAAAGGCCTTCTACTTATGGCAAGACATTATATGATTACAGCTGTTTTCATAATTCCTGGGACACCTGTAAAAAATTAGCAAATGATTTTTTGGCCAATCCGATTAAGTTATTATTTTGATTCAATAAAAATTAGTACATACGTATATATACTTGTTATATATACATAAGTACAGTATATACATACCAATTTTTATTGCACGGGTCTTATAAACAACTGTGCTTTTTCATTCATTTGGACCATGTGATAATATGGTTATTATATAGGTCATAGAAAATAATTAAATTTGCAAGATTAACTTATGCCTTTAGCCATGTAACAATTAACCTATGCAAATTCAGTTGTTTTTTTACAACCCATACAATAACTATAACAGATGACAAATGTACATATATACATACTTATTTACGTCTTAATTTTTACTAAATCTATTATGCTAAAATAATAACTTAATAGGATCAGTCGAAAAATCATTTGATTAATTTTCTATAGGTGTCTCAGGAATTATGAAAACAGCTGTAACTCGATAAAGATTCGCACTGGATTGTGGCTTGAATTATCCTTGGGATTCTGAATCACAATGTTGAATTAGCTAAGAAATGTATGGATTCTGATCTACAAAAATAAATGACTGCTATTGATGTTTGTTGAAAATTTTGGATAGGCTGTTTTCAATTTACTTGAAATTAATCAATCATGATGACAACATAGATAACCATTTATATTTGCAGAACTCATTTCATTGAGTATCTTTTTAACTTGCACATTTTGTCTTTTGAGCTTTTTTACTAATATACATATTGTGAGTTCTGGATCTGGAGATTAAAGCAAATCACTTTACTCAAGATCCTAATTTCAAATGCTCAGACAATATCAAATGTAATTTAAAGTATTTATTTAAAAATTAAGTTATACATCTAATGAATTATTTATTCAGAAAATTATCCTACTGGGTGTTCAAAAAGTTCTTATACACAGTCACTTTTTTTTAAAGTGATCTTATATATAGAGATCATGATGATTATTTATATAACATTTTTAAAAAAAAGTGACAATATATAGGAACTTTTGGAACACCTAGTATATTGACAACTTTACAATATAATGTTATCAGTTTTTTTGCTTATATTTTAAATAATTAAATAAATATTGTTATTCAAAAATATAAATAAATAAATAATAATAAATAGGTTAGATCTTTTTAAATTATGACACTAATACATAGTTAGGATTGGGAATCGACGTTTTTACTCAAAATAGTGTCAAATTCAAAAGCTACTAATTCATTAAATAAATATATGTAATGTAATATTATACTGGGTTGATGAAAAGTAATTGACAGTAACCTTTTTTATTATCTTCATTAATATTGAATTTCTATAATTATTTATTATATCTATATAAGATTAGTATAAGCATTAAGTAATAATCAATAGCAATATGTAGTATATCAGTGATTAAAAAAAGATCACTGTCTAGTTATTTTTCATTAACCCTGGTAACTTTAAATTATTCAAAAATTTAAGACTTTAACCAAGTATACTCAGATTCAAAGATCGATAAACTTTAAAGCCTGAATTTAAATTGAAGATTCAGTGAGCAGATATTTTAGATTGACCAATCAAAGGCTTGGACATTGTACAGTGTCTGCTGGACATCTATATTTATGTAGACAATGTCTGGTGACAATCTATAAGTTTGGACACATAGGTGGACACATATATTGGATAGTATCCAAATATGTCTGTGTCCAGAAAATATTCACAGACAGTGTCTATATATATCACTGGTTATTAAGATTAGAATGAACCTTGTAAGGGCCAGAGAGTTCAGTGGTATAGCCTGCTCATAAAGGTTTAGAACCTATCTGGTGAATTTATCTGTGGAAAGAATTGGTGGTATAGCCTGCCCGTAAAGGTATAGAACCTACCCGGCAAGACTTATTTGAAAAAGACTAGATAATATGGTAATAGTGGATACCAGACTGCTCTAGCAAGTAATGCACTCAAGGATGAATCAGTTAACCATGCTGGTAGTCCTATAGGTAGCTCGTGATGATCTTGAAACTTGGACTGACTTATATATCACATATTCTGGGTAAGATTAGATGGATTGGTATAGGAAACTTAGATCAGAGAGTTTAATTGAGTAATCTAAATAATAGTAGGTTACAGGTACGGCATCTAGTATAGAACCTAGTAATAGGCAGATTACTTAAATTAGGCACTCAAAAGGTGCAGATATGGCTAAAATGTACTCTTGTCAGAATGTACTTGTCTGGGGCTTCTTGATAAAGGCACTATATAATTCTATAATTTAATAAAAGCAAAAAGCCAAAGATGCTAACCTTAACTATAAAAAAAAAATAAATAAACACTACCTTTTTACCAAGGCAGAGAAACTTCAATATATGCTTCATAATTATTTCTTTGAATATTTACATCGCTTCTGAGTATATTTGACTCTTCTCTTTAATTATTTTTTTGTTAAAAAGCCTCTTTATTTTGTATTTTCTTAGTAATAAACTATTATTTTCTTGTTTTTTTATAGTATTTTTATAGTGTTTTTATTGCGAATTTATTGATATTTTTGATTTATACTTGAGTAAACCTTGTTATTTTTGTCTTCTTGTTTAGTTATTTGATAGTATTTTATTTTAGTTTAGGTTTTTCCTTAGATTTTCTTGTTTAAAACATTCTTTAACTACTCTTATATGTTAAGTCATGTAATATATTTGTTTGACTTAACTGGTGATACCAAATTTTATTATTAAAATCTTTATTATTTAGTTAAGCTAAGCAAGCATATTATAATATAAATAAATACAGTATATTTTAAACTAATATGAAAAACTTTTAATAACTATAATAATTAGAATTGATCTTTAGTATAGATAAATATATATACTTATTATACTGTATAATTATAATATATATAAATTAATTTTTTAAACTAATTTAAGTAATTTTATAAATTATTTAGAATTAGTATTAAGGTCAAAATTTAAATTAGTTCAAATTAGTTAGGTTTTATATATTATAATCTTGTAATAATATTATATACTCTCCTATACTAAAGGAGTTCTATTTTTAGTATTAAGATAAGGTCTTGCTTATATTTTTATTTATAGTTTTTAACATAGTAATTATAAAGAGTTGCTAATTTTTAAATATATAAAATATAAAAAATAAAATCTAAATAAAAGCATAAACTACTTTATCTGTAATTTAAATTTACTATAGTAGTTAAAGACTTATTTAGATTATAATAAATAAAATATAATTAAAAAATATATATCTTTAATTTATAATATATTAAAAATATTAATTTTTCTAATAGCTTGTTTAAGTAGTAAACAGAAATTATTTAAATATAATTAATTAGATAAACTGTATTGGTATAAGTAGATATATAGTCTGCAGATATTTTTAAGGTTTTGTTAATAGTCTGTGGAGTTTAAAATTAGTTGTAAAGTAAAGTAATATTGTATAGTCAGCTTCTTTAAATACAACCTCTTTGGTTATACTTAGAGCTATTACCCGGGTCAGAAAATAATAACCCGGACGGGTCGAGGTGTATACCCGGGTCATGACCCGGATCAACGGGTCATATATAAAATAATTAATTTTTTTTAAAGTTAGTGTAACCCTTATGCAAAACTGATGTAACGACTCAAAAAAATTGAATCTGTAAATAGAAGTAATACGCCAAGAAGTAAGTTATCTTTAAATCAATACATAAATCAATAACAATATTATCATTTTTATTTTTCAAAAAAATCTGTATCAGAATTTTCAGTATGTACAGTATGTATAGTTACGCATGTACATGAAGCAATGGGCTTCCGATATACTAATTATGTAAGGTGCTATAATAAAAACTTATGCATAGATCGACAAAATCGTTAAATTCACTAGTGAAGACTAGTGTTCAAAAATTGATATCAAACGATTAATTTAATCTGATTAAACAAAGTTACAGTTTAAACTTTTTAATTAAATTAGTAAGAAACTAAGAAAATGAATTTGCATTGTAAAAAAAATTAAAAAATAATAAAAATAAAAATTTTAATCTGTAACTTTGTTTAACACCAGTCTTCGCTAGTAAATTTAACGATTTTGCCGATCTATGCATAAATCTGCATTATTAGTTTTTTTATTACAATACCTTATATAGATTTGATAAATTAGGAAGCCCCAATGAAGCAAGTTGTTATTTATGAATTGGGGCTGAATTAGATAAGCATAAAATATTGGTGCATTATCTAAAATCAGCCAAAGCTATAATTCTATGAAGATTTTTAAAATTTTTGTTGGGTAATGGTGTAGGAAAGAATAACAGTTTTAGATTCTTGCACTGCACTTACATATAAAGGACGAATCAGCAAGCATTCCAAGATATTGTTATCGCTCCTATGGAATGGGTGTAGGAAAAGATTAACGGATTTGGATTTCCTGCATATATAAAATGGATTAGTAAGCATTCCAAGATTATTTTTATTGTTTTTATGAAATTGGTGTAAGAATAACAGTTTGATTTCTTGCCTGTACGTACGTACGTACATACATGGAATCGTTAATTCTTCTATAGAACTGGTGTGGGAAAAGAATGACGGATGGTTTTAGATTTCTTGTGTGCCGTACGTACATATATAGAATTGCGTTAGTAATCATTTCAAAGTTTCTAATGCCCAAATTTCACTTATAAATACTTACTTGTTGTCAAAATTTATCTGTTAAGTTAAATACCAATAACCTTATACAACAACTACTGAATCTAATATCCGTATAAACTAAATTGCATATTGTAAGTACTATTACATGGTTATTCATCATGTTTATTGTAAACAAATAATTAAAATTATTATTTTTATTCTACAGAATAATGAGTGATGATAATATGGTGTTAGAGTTAGAGGATACTGATTCGTATGAGCCTGAGAATATTAATTCGTATGAGCCTGAGAATGTTGATTTGGGTGATTCTGTGTATTCTGATTTGGATGAGCCTGGGTGTTCTGATTTGGATAAACCTGGTGGTATTGATTTGGATGGGTCAGAATCTAACGATATGGATAGTAATGATAATAATGAAGATACATTTCAGTCTTCTACATTATCACAAACTGGTGGGCAATTATTAGTTAAAAAAAACAAAAAAAAATTAAAAAACCGGGCGGTAGTCCTGTTAAAGAATTTTATGAGACAAGAACAATTAATAATTTAGAGTATTGAGTTTGTCATCATAAAAGTTGCATTCCACGAACAAAATATATAAAAGATGGTTCTACTTCTAATTTGTGGCGACATTTGAGAAATAAGCATCATATTTTGCGAGCTATGGTTGAAGGTGGTCGAGTAAAGGTTGTAGTAAAGAGTAATAATAGTTGTGATTTTTTTGTAATTCCTGAATCCTCACAATCAACAATAGTCCAGTCATTTAACAAAGTGAAAAAATATGCATTGAATAACCCCAAACAAAAAAATCTTGATAATAACGTAGCTGCTTTTATAGTTGAAGAACTTCAACCATTTTCAATTACTCAATCACAAGCTTTTAAACGAATAATTGAAGAACTCGATACCCAGGCTAATGTACTTAGTAATGATCATTTAAAAGAAATTCTCATTAATTCTGAGGATAAAATTTTGCAAAACCTTCGTGAGTATGCACATGATAGTGCTGAAATTAGTTACGTTTCATTTACCACAGATATGTGGATATCGAATAATGGGGATCCATATATTGGACTTACCCTTCATTGGATTAATAATTGTTTTCAAGTAAAAGAAATTACTGGTAACATCTCGTATCTCCCATATCCTCATACCTCAGAATGTCTTTTAAGTAAAATTGTTGAAATTTTAGATAATCTTCAACTTAAATGTATAACTGTTAGTGGCACAGTTGATAACGGAGCAAATATCAAGTTATGTTTAGAAAAGTTAGAGCGAAAACATAGCATTTTTATAATTCATTATTTTGGATATACCTTACAGCTTGCAATAAATGATGTATTAAAAGATTGTTCTGAAATTACTAACCTAATAAAAAGATGTAAAGATGTTGTGTCGCATTTTAGCGGAAGTCCGAAGCAAAAGCAGTTTCTTCTAGAAGCTCAAATGGAGATAGAAGACTGGAATAACTTTCTTTTTGTAGTTCGTGACGTTTCGATGTGGTGGAATTCTACGTTTTATTTGTTAAAACGATTAACGATTCTTAAACCAGCAATGTATAGGTACAAGTCAATTTTAGTTGAAAATAACGATAATAGTTCACTGAGAAGTTATGAGGAAAAAGAGTTGTCATCAGATGAATGGGAAAAAGTAAATGAGTTAGTTAAATTATTATATCCTTATGAGGTTATTTCAAAAAAATTGTCCGGTTCACAGTATCCAACACTTTCTCAAGCATGGTTTGCTATTAATTTTATAAAAGTAAAACTTGATTGTGCAATAGTAAGTAATGCTGATATTCGAAGGTTTGGAGGTCGTCTTCGTGAATCATTGCAGGAAAGATTTTTAGAACCAACAAAACTGATTTGACTTGCCACCTTTTTTAACCCACGAACTAAAGATATGCAGATATTTACAGAGAATGAGAAACAACAAACTATTTCTGAAACACACGTAGAATATCTTGAATTAGCTACAAATTATTATGAAGCAGACAATTTATCAGATTTAATATCTAATGATATAATGCTTAGCAAAGATATTTTTTTTAATCCTGCGGCCAGTTGTATTCAAGAGGATTCAGATCAAGATGATAATAATATTACTAACCATGAATTTAATTCATATTTGTTATTATCAAGGGTTCCAAGTGAAACAGACATCCTTCAGTGGTGGGCGTCAAGAAAATCCGACTATCCTATACTTGTAAAACTCACTCCAAGTATCTTTGTATCCTGGCTACATCGTACCATCAGAACGTCTTTTTTCATCAGCAGGTCTTACGATTACTGAAAAAAGAACATGCCTTAACCCTCAATTTGTTGAAT